GTTTTCTGTTTTTGTTGTTAAGAATGTTTGGTATTTCCAACGTTTATCTCTAATGTCCGTCTCTATTTCTTCATCCCACCAGTACGGTTTTATTCCTTTATGGTTTTCGTCACATTTCCCCAGTGCTTCTTCTGCTGCTAAATTAATCGACCTTTTGATGTGTTCGTAGTGTTCTTCGGTATTTTCAAAACTACCCATTTCTAATTTTTGGTCTAATCGTTTTTTATACAGTAGCTTTACACTCTTATGGTTTAAACTGTCTAGGTTGTACCGTACTTGTTTTATTAACTGATTTGACTCGATGTGCTCTTTTTCTTTTTCGTATCTGTTTGGGAATACCGTTTTAACTTTTAGCAGATGATGATCGGTGCCACATGATGGCCCTCTGGCTACTCGCACATATTGTATTTTAATTGTAGTTCTCTGTCTTACAATGCTATAATCTATTAAAGATTTCAGATTTCTGGTCTGTTGTATCCACGTGTATTTGTGTATATCGCGATGTGGATAAAATCCATTTAATATTTTTAAGTTATTTTGTGTGCATGCTGTTATTAATCTGATTCCATTATCATGTCTGGTATTTTCACCGTGTGCTCCTACCACTTTGTTGTTCAATTCCTATCCAAATCTGCTGTTGAAGTCCTCTAGAAGTATGATCTCCCTAGATGTTTCTACTTTTATAATTTCATCGTTCAGTTGTTCTAAAAATGCATCTTTACTGTTGACCAATGCGTCCTCATTAATTCCATCTACACCTAGTATGGCTATTCTGCTTCCTTTTATCGTGATGTTCATTTTTATCAATCTCGGATTAATTGCTTCCTAAGAGGTAATATGTCTTCTTAAAGTTTTCCGAATAACAATAGCAACACCTTGTTGTGCTCGTTGGTCTTTAGTTACTCCACTAGAAAACAGGTCATAGTGACCCCACTACTTTTTAGAACCCATACCCTTCTTTTTAGTTTCTGTAAGTACCGCGATATCTATCTCTGCATTTTTGAGTTCTGACATGATTTCTAGTGTTTTTCGGGAGATACCTTGCACATTCCATCTACAAAAATTCATTAACTGTTTTTTTGCTGTTTTCGTCTACTGTGTTTCCAATCTTTTGTTCCGAGGCTTTGGTTAGGCTTCTTTACATTGTACGTGTTTTATGAGTACCGAGGAGTTGGCCCGGTGCCTCAACCCCCAACCTGGAGGGCCATGGATTTTACATCAGAGTATCCTTCTTCTATGCGAGTTGCTTCCACTAAAGCTAGAGAGTCTCACCTACCCTTCGATTTTAAACAAGCAATAAAACCAGGGGGCTTGCCTAAAACCAAGGCAGAGATTGATTCACTTTCCCTGATAGGACTATCCAGAGTTCCTACCCGTACTACATTCTGGCTATAATTATTTTATTAATTGTTGCTTTAAATAGATTGGTTGTTGTTGTGGAGAACCATTTCCTCAGGTTTTTAACCATGATATTATTCTTCTTCCAATTCCTTGCTTTCCGAATACTATGCCTTAAAGGATTATTTTCAGTAACCTGTATTTAGTTCCGTTTCTCATTATGTGTCCGAGACATTCTAACTTTCTCCTTTTAATCGTATACATCACTTCTCTTTCTTTCTCCATTCTTCGTAGTACAGTCTCGTTGGTTATCTTGTCCGTCCATGATATCCTCAGGAATCTTCTGTTAACCACATCTCAAAGGCTTTAAGTTTTTTCTTCATTGCTTCAGTGAGTGTCCAGGATTAAACTCCGTAGAATAATATCGAGGATATAACACCGTAGGAACCTTACTTTTTTCTCCAGATTAAGGTTGTAGCTTTTAAAGAGTTTGGCCATGTTGTCTTCTCTATTCTACGGGGGTGAGTATATTGTAAACACAATCCATAAATCTTACGAGACAGACTGTATGTACCTTTTGTCTACAAAAATATTTGTAAAAGTACTTTATACGTGTGTTGTTTTATAAACACACTGACGCCACTAAGTCGAATCCTTAGGTAAAATCGTGCGTAAATTGTGTCAAGCTCAAAAAATTAATCACAGTTGGTCTCAAGTCGCTAAGCCACGTATATGTGATGCACTCTCTAAATTACAGTGAACAGTGTTATATTTCACTATTTCGCGTGATATTCAAAACCCGGTATAAATGAACAATTTTGTAAAATAAACTCTTTTATTTAGTAATAAGTGTAAATATTCTCTTGTTATTAAATGTGCTTTACCAATCGATTACTCTTTATTCTTCTCTTAAGTACAACCTGATAAAACCAAACACATGCTGAATCATGGACATGAGGTCTACTAACTTATATTGAAGGAATATATTTGGTACTGTACCCTCTGAGGAAAGAAATTGAATAGGTTTTCCTGAAACAATTATTGGAGATTTTTAGATGGAAGTTTCCATTACCCACCACTATTGTACAGCTTTCCTAAAAATAAAATGACCCTTTCAATATATAGATCAGCGGTCGGGGAACCGGGGTAAATTACCCCAAATGGGGTAAAAATGAAATTTTTGGGGGTAAAAATGAAACTTGTGAGTAAAAAGTATATATTTTAATTTGATTTTTTATAAACCTGTTTTGCATGCACCGAAATTTTTTTGTATTATTTGTGAAAGATAAATTACATTTTCCTACTATCCTTTGTAATTTTTTTATATGCCCTGGGAGGGCATATAAAGACTGCTCAGTCCCTCAGTCCGTGCCGTGCGGTCAGAATACAAATACATTGACGAGACTTATAGTTAGTTGCTGACAATCATTAATCATCGATATATCGATCAAGGTAAGCCGCAATTTGAAAATTTAATTTAAGTATTTTACAACTATTATTTTCTGTCTCCTTCAGATGGCAGCAAATAGAAAAAAAAATATCAAGACGAATTCCTTAATTACGGTTTTACACAAATAGAAGACAATGGTACAATGAAACCACAGTGTGTTGTATGTATGAAGGTATTGACTTCAGAATCTTTCAAAAAAAGTCAACTGAAGAAACATTTAGATAATTTGCATTCACACCTGTCTTCCAAACCGCGAGAATACTTTGCAAATTTAGAAATATCTGTTAAAAGACAAAGATTGAATAGCAACTTGTTTGGTACATTTGATCAGCGTTCAGCATCACGGCCTAGCTTTGAAGTAGCCTGGTTGATTTTTTATTATTAATCGATATAAGAAACCATACACTATTGGTGAAGATTTGGTTAAACCAGCTGCTGTAAAAATGACAGAGATTATGTGTGGTCAAAAAGAAGCGAACAAACTGAATTCAGTGCTCTTGTCTGCGAGAATTGTGAAAGAACGAATTTCTATATTAGCAGAAAATGTGAAGGAACAAGTTATTTTCTCATTAAAACAGACTAAATATTTTGCTATTCAGCTTGATGAGACAACTGATTTTAGTAACAATTCACAGCTAATGGTATATGTTCGCTACAAAGGTGCAGATAATTTTGAAGAGAAATTGCTGTTTTGTTCTCATCTCGAGTTAAGATCTCGTGGAATTGATGTCGATGTTGAGAAGTAAATGAATACTTCAATGCGCAAAGTTTAAAATGGAAAAACTGTATTTCAGTATCTTTGGATGGAGCTCCAGCTATGCTGGGCCATATTAATGGTTTTTCGGCTTTCGTAAAAATATATAACCCAAATATTGAAGTTATTCACTGTATGATCCATCGCCAGGCCCTAATGGTCAAATATTTAGAACCTACACTGGAAGCCGTCATGCATGATGTCATCAAGATTGTAAATTTTATCAAGGGACATGCACTAAACACGCTGCTATTTCGTGAATTATGTCAGGACGGTGAAGCCGAATATACGGACCTACTTTATTATACAGAAGTAAGGTGGCTCTCTCGCGGAAATGTACTAAATCGAGTATGGACTATCAAAACTGAAGGGGAAATTTTTATGGTTGATCAAAAAAATATTCTCGCAGATAAGTTTAAAAACTCTTCCTGGGTTGCATATCTCGCATATTTAGCTGACATTTTTGAGAGTATAAATATAATAAACAAAGAATTGCAAGGAAAGAATATTAATATCATTTCAGCGAGAGAAATAGTGTCAGCGTTTGGATTAAAGCTGCAATATTGGAGTCAGAAAGTAGAACAGAACAAGATAGCTTCTTTTTTAAGGTTAGCTTTGTTTTTGGAAGATTTCGAAAATATTAATTTTGCTGACATCAAGGATACAATTGTAAGACATCTTATCAAACTCAGAAAGCGGTTTTTAGATTACTTTCCAGATCTTGATATACATACTGTCAGTTGGATTGTAGATCCTTTCAAATGTGAAATTGATATGATACCAGAAGAACCTTCAGGTTTGGCAGAAGCAATTCTTGAACTTCGATCTAATACTGAAGCACGTATTCAATTTGAGAGTAAACCAAATCTGTCGTCTTTTTGGATATCAAAAGCTGCAAAGGCTTTCAAAATTGCACATGAAGAGGCGGTTAAAAAATTGCTGCCATTTGGAACAACATATTTGTGCGAACAAGGCTTTTCCACTCTAGTGGAATTTGTTACAGTACCGCAATGGGTTTTAATTTTTTATATCTTATTATTGTTATCTATTATTATGTTATGTATTTTTAGGTATCATAGAAATTGAATAAATGATATTTACTTTATGTTTTAGTTATTGTTTTCTGTTGGGGGGCTATATGCTCCCATGGGGGCTATAATATGAATGATGCTAAAAAGAGACATTTTTTTTGCTTTTTTGCTTTTTGCTTTGGGTAATAACAACTTACACAAAAATGTTTTGGGGTAATGATTAAAAAAGTTCCCCGACCGCTGATATAGATTATGGGTCGAACTACCTGCATAGTGGAGAAACAAAATAGATATAAAAGATTTACTTCAAATTTCGTTTTATATCCTGGATATGTTTTGGATACTTAACGATAATCTATTATTCTGCATAATTTTTCTACAGATAATAATACAGTCGTCGTATTAGTTTTTATTTAAAAGTTCGTAATTATGTATGGTACAATAATAAATAATTTTGTTACAATATTTAGTAATAGCCTAGTGTATTTAACATTTTACTATTTTTAAATCTAACCTTCGTAGAAGGTATTTAATATAGGATTCTAAGGTCTCTGAACTTTACAGTTAGTTACACTTCCATAATACTCAGAATAATAAAAATCGCAAACAGCAGCATTATTTTCAAAAGTCATCTCTGCTACTTTAAACTCTGGATTAACAGCAACTTTCATTTTGTATAATCCTGGTTTCAAGTCAGAAATGTCTACCCACTGGCAGTCCACTGTGTACTTGTAAATATCAGAACAATTCACTGATATGCCCTGATCTCCATAGTTGGCACAAGCATATTTCTGTTTTATTCCTGGTAAACATTGATTATCTTCCAAACAAAATGATGCTTTGTGACCTTCTGCTACTCTTTTTCCTTTACTGTCGTAGATATCGAATGTGGCAAAAACTTCCATACTGTGATAATGCCTAAAACATTAAAAACTTTAGAAAGAATTTAAATGAAATCAAACACTCAGTGAAATATTTCTATTGTAAAAAAAACATGCGAAGCATAAATTTTCACTGTCCTGTATGCTATGCACCACCCAACAAGAAGTGAAAGCTTTGTCGGTACCTTTGATGTTCGTAGGACAGAAATTTCGGAGAAAAAATGACAGTTATACTACTTAGTACACTAAGAAAAGTAATGAGGAAGATGTTCAAAACAATAATAAAGTTACAGGTATATATCAATTTTGTACTGATAAGTAAAAAGGTTTTAAGTCAAAAATATCGATTTGTTTTTTTTAAACAAACAAATTAATAAATAAGTAAATTAAATAAGCAAATTAAAATACTTTTAATACTTTAAAAAACCGACAAAAAGCGATTGCATTTAAGGGATAATTTCAAAATAGAATAGAATCAAATAGAAAATCAGTCGATTTCTATTATTTTTTATCGATTTTTTAAGGTATTAAAGTATGTATATGTATATACAAAATATGTATAATAGTATTATTCTTTTTTTACTATTATATTATACTTTTTTTATATTACTATACTTTTTTAAGGTATTAAAATATGTATATGTATAGCAGTATTATTCTTTTTTACTATTGCACAACACACACGAAACAACTCTTCTCAATATGTAAACAAACTTCAGTTTTTATAGGTTGACAGATAAACTATTTAGAACATGGTGGATTCTCACAGAAATTTGGATTGCAGAAAGCCCTTCGTTTCGCTTCTTGTTGGGTGGTGTGTTCTGAGATTAAAGTAAAATTAAATCAAAAAGTAAGTAAAAAGCTCTTTATTTTTTTAAGTGAAAAAATTTGTTAATCGGTTCACATTTTACGTTGTGGTGAAAAAATCCAATGGAGACTTTTGAATTTTTACATTTTAGCATGTTTAGTATGTTGATTTATTGAATTCTAACTTGAAAATTGTAAGTAATGCAAAGGGTTTTACTTATATTCCACTATGGCCTCTCTCTCTCTCTCTCTCTCGAAGAAATAAGTAGAGATGGCCATACGCAGTTAGGTAGAGTGTATTTTAAATTATTTTTTTTTTTTTAATTAAATCTTTCTCTATTTAATCACAGATGCCGAATGTCTACAAGAGAAAAACAGTTACAACGCGCGGTAATTGGAAAAAGAAATATTTAAAGTCGGTAGTTTTTCTGTTAAAAGTAGAGAAATGATTATCTACTCTGTATCTAAAATCGATGATATTCCACGTCAAACATTAGAACTAAGATACAAAAATAACAATAATTAAAAATTACCTATGCGGCCATTTTCTATGCTTGGAAAACAAAATGGACAATAACCTGTTATTCATAATAAAAACCATGCAAAGTAAAGGTTTCCCATTGACTATTGATAAGGTCAGAACAATAACATTTCATTTTGCAGAGCCACTAAACATAGCTCACAGATTCAACAAAACAATTAAAAAAGCTGTTTATGATTGGACGTAAATGTTTTTGAGAAGAAACTTTGATATTTTGATAAATCTTAAGCTTTGAAGAGAATAGAAGTGGACGCTTATTTCAATTTATTGGAGCAGTTTTCGACAGATAACAATTTTATGAAAAAAGCCAACTGTAGTTTCAATATGGATGAATCAGGTTTGCAATTAAATAATCGCCAAGGACAGTTTAAGCCGAAAAAGGATCATAAGATGTATCTACGATAACTTCTACCGAGAAAGAAGAAATTTTTACTGTTATTAGATGTTGCAATGCCGAAGGAACTTTTTGCCACTTTCAGCTTTTTTATTTTGTAAAAAGAAAAAAGCTGAACAATTGATGGAATGCCTCTAGGTTCCCAAGTGTTCATGTCTGAAAAATCAGCTTACATTAGATCTACACTTTTTTAGAATGGCTTAAGTTCCACTTCGTGCCAAGGAAATCACTAACGGAGTACACTTTTCTTGGCAGCTTCGTAGACATAACGCCTAATCCAACTATATCTAAAATCTTATTGACAGTCTCAAGTTCACCCATAAAATCACCAGTCGTACGGCGTAGATCTACCTGGTTCTTTCAAAGAAACTAACTACTAGCTGCCAAAGCCTTACTGCAGGCTAAAAATCAAATGAAACAACTTTTAGTGCTTTTAATAACGATGTTGTGGAAAAACTTTAAAAAGAATTTTCATCCTCTCAAATTTTGAAAGAAATTTCACCACTATCATATAAAACTGTTGAAGGTAAAAAGTACGTGGACATTCTTTTAACTTGTGTCACTTCTCTATATGAGAATATCATATAGATTCAAGAAAAGCCAAAGAGCAGGAAAAAAATCCGAAAGAAGGGAAGATAAAAATTAAAAATATTGTATAAAAAAAGTATTCAATAAAAAGACTGTGAATCTGCAAAGATTATGGTAGTTAGAAAGCAAAAGGGTTGTCTAAAGATTTCAGAAAGTAGTGAGAACAAAGAAAAACCAATACTCTGCAATTCAGATATTGATACCAAAAATGAGCAAGACAAGTGTGCTGGGTGTGGAAAAAATTATTAAGCTACCCAACTTATTAAAGACTGGTCTGGAATGCTCTCGTTTGCCAAAACCTCCGAACAAACAACGCACTGTGGACGTTGTTAAAAATAAACACTGTACATTTAAAACCAAACTGGATGTACGATTCTTTAAAAATGCGTTGACGCTTCCCAGTTGTCTCCGATGTAGCTGTTGCTTGTTTAGTTGAAGTTGAAACGTCACTCTCTGTATCGGTGTGTAGATGTACTTGTTGAACGTGAAATGGTTCTATAATCATCGCTGTTATGACTAATAGTTATAGGAGTGAAACTAGATGTTGCTCTGCTGTCATCGATAGTAATAACACTACTAGTACTTGAAATGGCGGCATTGTTTTCACGACACATATTACTCGTAACATTAGTTGTCATTGTAGAATCTAAGGTGCCACTGTTGTCAAGAACTATGTGTTTAATTCTTTTGTTTTTTGCTGTTAAATGCTGTTTTTGTATAACTTTACCTGCCATATCTATTTGGTGAAATCCGCTCGCTAGATTGAGGGTGGAAAAGTATTTACAGCATCCAAGTTTATTAAGGATGTCCGTAATATTCGGAATTAGATACATATCATCAGTTATATTTCTATAATCGACTACAATTCTCCAAACACAACTTGTGAGACAAGTTTGGAAATTATTTATCCATTACTGTTTTTTATTCTTATTATTCAGTTATTATTATTTAATGTTTTTTTTTCTTCATTTAAATAAATGATACCTATATAAACTTTTACTTAAAAGGTCTAAGCCTTTTTAAAGAAACTTTTATGAAAAAAAAAAATACTTCTATGGGGAAAACTTTTTTGAGGAATCCAAAAATTAATTTTTTGGTACAATGTGTCATTTATTTATTTTGGGTTCCTGAAAACTGTACCGAATTTGACAATATGTGTCCTAAACCTGGCCAGAAAAAGAGAAGAAAAAAAAAGCAAAAAACTAAAAAAAGGGTGGAGTAAAGTATTGGTCATTATCCTCTAACTACTGTCATGTGGTTAGATCATCCTCCATATTGCCTGAAATTCCAGGATGATTTCCAGCCGCCGCTCTTGAGGAGGAACGAAGTTTTTTCGATTCCATCCTCCAGTTAATCGAGAAGTAACGTCGGATTATGGAATAATTGTAAGTTCCTTCCGGACTCTTACTTATTCCCGCAATCACGCTTGGTAGCGAAGGGCTCACTTCGGACCGCCACCTCTCGTGAAATAATTCTAAGGTCCTTTGGGATCTTTACTTATTTTCAACGAATGGTTGTAATTCGGGAGTAGTTGTAATTGGTTGTAATTGGCAAAATGTAATGGGAGTAATTCTAAGCCAGCTCGGGCTTTTATTTATTCCTAACCGTCGGTAATCTACACTGTGGCAGTTCGACATGAACTGAAATAGTTTTACGTTGATCCGACTTTTATCTATTTCAAAGACCAACATCTTTCTGACCAGTGAGGTGTTCTCTTCGAGCTGTGTGATGGTCTTTGTGAGGTAATTCAGTTTCCAGACTTTTCTTTATCTCGAACAGTCAAAATGCCGGTTTCATACATTTTGATTGTTTGATAATATCAAATTCGGGAGACCTTGTATTTATCTTAACAATTAAAGAGCTACACAGAACTGACGAAGTATCGTAGTTCGATGAAGTTTGGTATAGGTAAGAAATGAAACGCAGTTTCGTGAAATGGGCAGCTCAGCCAAAATAGGTCTTGATAGTATCAAGATTAAGATCTAGCTTGATCCTCCAAACGGAAGATACGCTGCTTTTATGCATTTCTTGATTGCATGTGCACAACGATCTTCCGTAGGAGGGGGAATAAAATTGCAATTAATAAAAACGATTTTAATTGATTGGCAATAGTGACAATCTTCGCTGTGATTGGTCCACTGTGGTGACACTACCGTGGCCATCTTTCCCAGGCATCATAGGATAGATGAACAATCATTAGTTTTAGTTGTAATGATTTTTGTAGTGTCTGACAAAAACTACGGCCACTTGTCCCGGATATACCTTATCGAGTTACTAATGCAATGTTTTGCAAAGAATCTATCAAGAAAACAATAATTGTTTTATAATAATATATCCATATAATAAATATATGGTGTCCATAATTATTATGGACACCAAAATATATGCTCAGTTAAACATAGAAAATACATATTTTGATCATATGATGAGAAAGTTGAGGTGCAACTTGGGGATATCTGTCTGCTTGCTTTACTATAAACACCGGACTTAACCAACTTCAACTTTGTATTAGGTTTACATATATACATATAATATACTTACATATGACACATATGCCATTCCCATAAGTGTTTTGGAATAGCAGGTCTAAAATCTGCATTACCGGCATTAAAAATCTTTGCGGTAAATTTTAATAATCTTCTACTTTCCAGATGCCATGCAGGATTTTCTTTCTGAATTTCGTAAGCTGTGGACGCTACACAGTTCTCCTCCATCGCACATTGTAAGTAAAACATTTGTCGATCTTCTAGGTGAGCTGTTCTCATAAGCTCGTAGTGGTCAATTGAAAGATCAGCTGTGTTGAACAACAATAAAAAAAATAAAATTATTCAATAACAACATAAGTTTACAAAATTATACATACATTGCCGAGGAATAAATAAAAACCAAAATATAAATTAAAGTGGAAGATAAGCAATTACTTTTGTAGGTAACTTATATTTTCCCAAGAAAGATTATATAAAGAAAAATCCTTCGCATCTCAATATCTAAGACGTTCTGTTCTTTTTAAAAAGTGTTATACCTTTGATCTATTTTTTTGGGTAGTATTTTACAATTCTCTAAGTTTTTGATCATCAGACACTTACTTTACTTAAATGTAATAAACTTATAAGGCAAAAAAAAATACAAATTTACACCGGTATTTTAAAAAGAAATACGAACTAATTTTTTATCTAATTAAAAGGATTTTACCATACTAATTTTCAAAATGAGGTATACTTTTTGTATTTTAGTTCATCTTCGAATTACTACCTAGTTATTCCCAGACGAAACAAGTGCTATATTATTGTAAAAAATGTCATAGTCCAAAGTTTATTTACCAAATATTTGTGCTTCACCCGAGAAAATGCTTTTTGCTTGCAGATCACATAGTGCCTTTAGCGTTTTGAGTCCTCATCGGTCACCAAACGAATTATTACCAATATTTTTTTCGTATTATCTTTGTTAGCGAATTACACTGACCGCCAAAAAAGTGGTCACCTTACAAATTTCCGAAAATACAAATTCATTGAAAGTTTTATGCACTGTTTCATATTGTATACTCAACTTCTTCCATTTTTAAAACAAAAAATGCCCATTACTGCTTGATTCCTTAGTATAATTTATTTAATTAGAAAATAGCGTAATATCGAAATTAATTACTAACAATAAAAATAACGAGTGAACAAATTTGTCTAATATTGGGTATTATGCTCTAAAACATAAATAACCATTTGCATGCGATTTGGAAGAAAAAGGAACACATTTTAAATAAAAACTTAAGGAATGCGTTTATATTCTTCACGAAACATATTTTGAAGTTCTACAAGACTTTCTGGCTAGTATGGTTAACTTCTAACCCACGATGAAGTTTATCTCAAAGATGTTTGATGATATTAAGATCAGAGCTACAGGCTGGCCATTTTCAAGTATTAAATACTATTTTCCTCAAGTAATTTGTCACGTTTCTTGTAGTATGCAGCCGTGCATTATCATACATATAGACGAAATTGTCTCCAATAAATGGACCAAATGGAACTACTGCTTCTGCCAAAACATCCTCCATATACCGGTGAACATTCAGAGGGCCATTAATGAGAATAAGTTCAGTTCGAGCTTTACATGAGATTCCAGTCCAAACCATGACATCACCACAACCAAACTTTTCTCTCTGTGACATAAAATTTTGGGCATATATTCCATTTCTCCGTCCCCAGACACTCTCTCGGCTATCGCCAGACTTCAAACAGAACCACCATTCATCAGTAAAGAGAATTCGGCTCCAATCCTGTATATCCCACTGTTGATGTTGTCGAGCAAAAATTAATCGATTTCTACAGTGTCTGGTACAACCCAGGAACAATAGCCGGTCTTCTTACCATTAGTCCTATTTTATTAAGGCGTGTTCTAACCATTCTCTCACTTACATTCACATTTCGAACCTCCTGCAACGGTTTCTTGCAACAATTGCAGTGGAATCGCGATTTGTTAAAAGCTCCATCAATATAAAACAATCATCTCTTTGCGAGGTAAATCTCCTACGACTGGCATCAGACCGACGTTAGCATGTACCAGTCACTATAAAGCGATGGAAAGGCCTCCGAAAGGTAGTTCTCGGAATACCTAAAGTTTCAGATACCTAAACTTGACTTCTTCCGTCTTGTAGCAATGCAATAATTCAAGCAACATCTATTCTAGACTACACCACATCTCTTTATTCTATTCACCATATTCTATTATTCACTTAGTCGAAATCCACGTTTGAAATGCTAAATTACTGTTTATTTAAATGTTTTCAACTTGAGAAGATAAACAGTGACTACATACGTCAACAGACATACGAAAACAACAACATAAACGTCAAAACTGTCAAAAATAAGCATACATAATCGCAATAAATATTTAAATTGCGACGCAATATGAGACAGTGCCTAAAACTTCCAATGAACTTTTATTTTCAGAAATTTAAAGGGTGGCCGGTCTTTTTTGCCGCTCAGTGTATTTGGTGTGTGATTCTGAGTAAGACTTTTAATGCATTGCTGATTAAACTAATTAATCTAAATTAGAGTATTTGTTGGCTTCAACTCTCTTAGTTATAGTAATTTAATATAATATTAATATAATCTAATGAAGATTACCTTTAACTAATCATCACGGTATTTTGCCAGTAATCGAATACTGGTAAATAGATTGGAAATAGATATACCAGATAGAAGAACAAACATGGTTTCGATTACTAATGACAAACATGGTTACGGACAAATGACCATCTGCAGTGACTTTAAACTCGAGTCGAAAACTTTACCGAATATAATCGAAAGAAGACCTCTGGGTCTTCTGGGTCTTCGCATTTTTGTTGCCTTTCTCAAAGCATGACACAATGAACAGTCTCTATTTAAAAAGCACTATCAGAATGCAGAATAGACCACAGGTATTCAAATATTATGACAAATATCTACGAAAATGCAACAATTGTTTGTAAATCTTCATTGTATGACTGAGAAGATAAAAATTGGCAAACGTGTGGGACAATGAAATACTTTGTCGCCAAAAATATTTATTACAGTCATGGAGTACTACGAATTTAAACGATTAGAGTGAGACTGAAAGGGTATCAATATGTCGGTGACATTGTTCACATAACAGACGACTTAGGAGAAGTCAGAGTTATGCTACTACAACTACAGCAAGTAACACAGATAATCGGTTAAAGATAAACTATGGGAAAACAAAAATGATAAGGAATCCCATCCCTAATGAGCTAATAGCATGGGCGAGAAGACGGCCATATAAGCTGTAAATATATATATATATATTATATATATATATATATATTTATATATATATATATATATATTTGGACCACGAAATAAGATTTACGCGAGACAACCAATCATGTGAGCTACTCAGAAGAGTAAATTTAGGTTGAGCTGTATTCGGAAAAATAGGGACGTGTTTAAAACAAACGTCCCAATCCCAAACAAAACAAAATTCAACCAGTGCGTTCTACTAATCCCCACGTAAGGAGCAGAAACCTTAAATCTCACTGTTTGGGAAAGTATTTAGTACTTTCACATTTACATTTATTTACTTTTCTTTTCTGTACTGACTAATTCTATACAAAAAAGGAAATTCTGTGTGTCAAAAAGGAAATAAAGTATTAAAGTATTATGATGAAAGCCATATATTTACTCCAGTTATTGAATTCGATCAGTAGTTCCAATATTAAAAATTGTAACTGTGCTTGTGACAAACTACAAATTTAAAATTGGAAAAAGAATTGGTGCGTCCGCCAATATTGAGAATCTTACAAGATTTGTTTCCGCGACTCCACCAATCTTTAAAAGCTTGTTTGTAGTATATTTGAGGGAATAAAACAATAACTTTGAGGGACTTTAAATTTTTTGCATACTTTTACGATATTATTTAAGTAAATCACAAATAGGTTTGGCCCCAATACACTCGCTTGGGGAACACCAAATACTGTAGCTTTCCAGAATGTCCTATGTCCATAAATTTCTCCATTAAATTTGGTTGATAGCACTTTATCCGTTAAAAGTTCTTGCATTAACTGACACGGAATTTTCCCAAAACCATACTTTTTTAGCTTTTATATTTACTACCTAAGCTCTGAAGTCACAATGGTCGGGGATTTTAAAAACCTTTCCAAACAAATTTATTTACATATATTTCTCCCATAAGAAGTTCGAAATATTGGTATTTTTAATTGTTTAAAGAATAAATAAGGACTTTTAGTTATGAACATTCATTCTGTGCGAGTGGTATTATTGGTTTTTTATGAATTTGTGAGGTAAGAATATCAAAGTATTAAGATATTTACTTCCATAGTTCATATTTTAACACTTTGGCTACTGTGTGTACCATTTCTGGTACACAGTTGATGTTTATCAGAAACTGCGTGTACCAAATTTGGTCACATGAAATGGTAATGTTTCAAGCTGTGTGTACATTTGGTGAACACAGTTCTGATGGTTTTAAATGCGTATCTAGGTTCCTACAGTTTACTGCTAAATTCTGGCGAAGCAGTTCGGGACTTAATCAACAGATGACTGTACTATGACCGATTTTTTAAAATTATGGCGGAGCAGTTTGAGACTCCTTCAGCAGATGGCATATTATGGCCATTTTCTGACTTGCAGAAACTTGTTGTTTGTGCAATATTAGTCTTGTGTGTTTACGGTTCTAAAATTAGTACTTAAAATGTCAAACAAAAAATTAAGTGATGCTGAACTACGTGAAATAGCCAAGAATATGAATGAAATGGAGTATGAGTTTATTAGTGAAGATGATGATGATGATGATGCTATGGATATAGATGATCCAAATGATCAAGATTCGTGTTCTTCTTCCTCTAATTTAGCAATTAACAGTGATGGGCAAGAGTTAGAATTCGAATCTGATCTAGAATCTCTCAACAACGATTCTGAACCTGATAATTTTTTAAATAATGTCATTTAAATAATGTCCTAATCCTAATGTCATTTGGAATAATTGTGCAGGTAATATATAAATTAGTATTCACTTTTATAGTTTTGAGTTTATCATTTTGTAGGTAATTTGAACACATTTACTTTCACGGAAGATTCAGGATTCTCCCAAAGTTTTTTGCATAAAGGGAAGGAGATCATCCAATTCATTTTTATAAATTATTTATTGACAACGATATCTTATCACTTATTGCCGAGAAAACCAACAGATATGCTGAACAGAAAATAGTATCACTAATTACAAATGAAACATTAACAAAAACAGCATTATTGGGACAATGGAGAAACACAAATTAATCCGAAATTTTTGTTTTCTTAGGTATTCTAATATGGATGGGTTTGGATCGTAAACCCACTTTGAAAGATTATTTTAGCACCAATATGCTGTACAAAAATGAAATTGGAAAATTTATTCACATGTCCTGGATAAGGTTTGAGCTTCTTTTGTCCAATTTGCACTTCTCAAACAACGAAATTGCCTCAGATGATAGGCTCAAAAAATTCCTTCCCTTGCAAAATTTGTAAATCAAGAAGTTCCAATCAGCATATATTCCTGACAAGAATGTGTGTATAGATGAGACGATGATTCCCTTTCGAGGACGACTGAGCTTTCGCCAATATATACCGGGGAAGCGTCACAAATACGGTGTGAAATTATTTAAACTATGTGGAGTGAAAGGTTACACACACACATATATATATATATATATATATATATATATATATATATATATATATATATATATATATGTATATATATATATATATATATATATATATGTATATATATATATATATATATATATATATATATATATATATATATATATATATATATATATATATATGTATATATATATATATATATATATATATATATATATATATAGTTCAGCTCAACAGGCCTCAAAGGCCCAAGGCTTCAACGGTTTTCTTCCATTTCTTTCTATCTTGTGCTAAGTTTTTCCAATCTTGTACACGCAGCGACTTTAGATCTTCTTTTGCCGACTCCAGCCATTTTCTTCGGGGGCGGCCTCTTTTTCTTTTTGTACCAGCCTCCGTGTTTATTAATTCATTGGGAACTCTTCCTTCCTTCATTCTTGCTATATGCCCGAGCCATCTTAATCTTTGAATTTTCGCGAGTCTTGTTATTTTTGGTTGCCCATATATTTGCATTATTTCTTCATTCGTTCTTCTTCGCCAGATGTTCCCCTCTTTTACACCTCCGTATATCCTTCTAAGAATTTTTCGTTCCCATCTGTATCTCATCTCTATATATTCTTTTTTGCTGTTCTGGATATTATCTTCGACCTCAGTATCTTAGTCAGGCTCCCAGCACTCTTACTACCTTTGGCCATTCTTTTTATGATTTCTTGGTTCTCTTCGTTCCTATTTGTTAGTGTCACTCCCAAGTAGTCGAATTGGCTAAACAACTTCAAAGTTATATTCTTTACTTGGGCTTTGTACCTTAAAGGACTCTCCTAGATGATTTTTGTTTCCCCTCATCACCATATATTTTGTTTTTTCTTCGTTTATTTCTAAACCATATTCTCTGGCTATTCTCTCTATTCTAATAAAGATTTCTCTTAATTCTGCAGGTCTCCTTGTTATTAAGGTAACATCATCTGCATATGCTACACATTGATGCCTGTGATGATATATTGTGCCTCTAGTGTAGATGTTACATTCTCGTAAAATCTTCTCTAAGATCAAATTGAAAAAATCTGTTGATAACTTATCACCTTGTCGCAGACCTCTATTGGTGATAAAACTATCCGAAACCCGTCCTTCTAACATGACTTTACTTTTAGTATCATTGAGTATGCATTTAGTCAGTCTTACTATTTTTGGTGGAAATTCAAAATATTCTAGTGCTTCATATACTTTATTTCTTTTTATAGTATCATATGCCTGTCTAAAATCAATAAACAGCATGTGTACTGTTAGGTTGAATTCATATGAGCTAGCTAAAATTTGTTTCATTGTAAAAATTTGGTCAGTTACCGATCTGTTTGCTCTGAAACCTGCTTGATATTCACCTAGACAATTTTTAACTTTTGTTTTAATTGTATTTCTAATTGATATGGCCAAAATCTTATACACTGTATCTTGTAGAGCTATTCCCCTGTAATTTTTACATTCTGTAACGTCTCCTTTTTTATGCACTGGACATAAGACTGCTTCTTTCCACTGATTGGGTATTTTTTCTTTGATCCACACTTCGCGTATTAACTCAGCGATTTCTTCTTGTACCATTTCGCCACCTTCTTTTAAAAACTCAGCAATGATACCATTTTCACCAGGTGCTTTGTTGTTTTTTAAGTTTTTTATGATCTCTATAATTTTTTCCTTGGTAGGTACTTATTCATTTACATCTGTTGTAGTTGCGTTTGTTCTCTTTCATCTTGGTCGTCCGTACATAATAATATGTTCTCAAAATAACTGGCCCACCTTCTTAATTTTTCATCTGTTCCACCTAACAGATTCCTCTCTTTATCTTTATAATATCTTGATGTGGTTTTGTACTGGGTTCGGTCTCGTTTTATTTCTTGGTAGAAATTCCTGACTTGTTTATGTAAAAAATCTTCTTCAATACGAACTAGTTTCTGCTCTAAACTTGAACGCTTCTTCCTTCTACAGATCTTCTTTGCTTCCCGTCTTTTTTCGGCATAAGCTTTTTTACTCTCTTCATTATTTCTTATTATGCTATTTATTCTAGCTTTATTTCTGTCACTAATGGCTTTCTTACAATCCTCATCATACCAATCCGTTTGTTTACATTGTCTGTTTCTTGATAATACTGAGTCGGCTGCTTCTGAAAGGTTACACATACAATTTTAAAATTTATACAGGAAAAGAGCAAACACCTAATGAAAAGCCAATTGGTACAAAAGTGGTGCTACAGCTTATGGAACCACTTTTACATTCAGGTCGTGTTTTGTGCACAGATAATTATTACACTAGCGTGAATTTAGCACACGGACTTCTGAACAAAGATACACATTTAATAGGCACACTGAGAAAACACAGGCAGCATAATCCAAAAGTAGTAAGTGAGGCTAAATTAAAAAGGGGTGAATTAGTCATGAGACAGAGTAACAGTAAAATCATAATTGGAAAATGGAAAGACAAAAGAGATGTCATGTTTCTCACTACGGAGTCTGTGCCTGAAATAGTAGACGTGCCAACAAAAAGGGGTGTCGTGAGAAAGCCTTCCACAATCGTGCAGTATAATAATGTGAAATCATTTATAGACGTCTCTGATCAAAAAGCATCATATTCATCAGCAGTGCGTAGGGGTATTAAGTGGTATAGGAAAGTTTCAATTGAACTTTTGGTTAACACATCTATTATAATTGCACATACTGCATACGAGGCTATAACAAACAAAAAGATAAGTATCACTAAATTTAGAGAAGAAATCGCCTCAGAAATTTTTCGTAGTCAAAATATTCAGATGAAAAATTTGGATGATCGTCGTGTTAACCAAGAAAGAAATCACAAACTTTCCGAAGTGAAACAGAGAGGTCGTTGTACAAGATGTTATAAAAATAATAGTGCTAGAAATGGACGTAACTTTGCTATAAAGGAAACAAAACGTGTGAAACATCTTGTCTAGCATGCAGTGATAAGTTTTTATGTACCAACTGCTTTTTTGACACTCATTACTGTCAAGCAAAAAAATGAACATTGTGTCCAAAAATGGTACACATAGTTTCTAAGAAGATAATTACGCATTTATTTCTGACACAAACTGTGTGTACCATTTTTTGACACGGCCTTTACACATGATTTTTTTTTCAAAAAAATACCTAAATGTTGATATTTACATGTTTTAAGTATTAAATATTGTGAATTTTACCAAAATGTAGTTTCAGTTTCTGACAAAAAACTTCAAATTTATAGCCAGTAGCCAAAGTGTTAAGGTTATGTTATGTTTTGTTTAAAACTTTAATTTCTTTATTTCAAGGTATTTAGTTGTTGTTGTTTATAATTATTTGTATAGTTGTTATAATTCCACTTTTACAACATACCATTATTAGACGTAAACTTACCTAGAATATTTGTACAAGAAACCGCGGCCACATCAGCGCTTTCGCATCGCCCTGTTGCGAATTTATCATGCATACACTGTGAAATGGAAATTTCATTTCCGATACATTTAACACCGCCAATACTATTTTTTGTCAAGTTTCCCCCAAAGAAATCAGTTTGCATGGCATCACTTGCATATCCTATAACACAAAAAAAAAGATAAAAAAACATAAACAAAATTTAAAAAGGAGATTGAAGAATAAAAGTTTAAAGCAAACACATACCTAAGCACGCTCTTTCTATAAAACTGATTATTTACGTAAACCAACCATATGGACTGATAAATTGAATACTGTAACGATTATTATTTTATGGGATATAATTTTGTTTTCATAAAACGAAAAGAATTGGCTTCCGGATAGCAGCTGATCGATAATCTGATTAACTTTGTTTGTCCTTGAAATCGAATAACATTTCGTACCAAAACATCTCCTCAGCAATAGTGCACAGAATTAGTTCTTTTGACATTTTATTATTGTCGTTATTATAGTTATCATTGGCATGTGGTTTTAAAATAGAGGGTCGACTCACTAAATATTTTTGGTCATTAAGTTCTATTATCGACAACGGTCATCAGTTTTTTTGGTCGCAGGAATTTTCTTAGCATTCCTATCCACACCAGCCAAGTTTTTGTTTACCTTAATATGTACTTCTCCGAACTTTAAGATGAAGATTCATCTGTAATGGTTGTTTTGTTGTAATTGTACTAGATATCCATGTTAGTCTTCTCATTTCCAAAAAAGGTAGCAGGTGTTTTCCACGTGTCCAACGGTATTAAATGAGAAAAATATGTTTAAAACGACATAGAAATATTATATTCCTGAAATTACTTGTCAAAAATTGAATAAGAAGGAATTGAAGAGAAGAGGTTCAACATATTGTTTTTATTTGACCTGTCTTCTTTTTTAGTATTTGAAAAAAATGTGCTGAGAAAATGACAATCAAATTTGGGCGAATTAATTTAAATGACAGTCTTACTATTTTTATTAGGAAAACACCATAATTTTATTTTAAAATAAGTTTTAGTATATTATACTATAGTATTCGATAAACGACTACGTTTTCTTTTAAACCACTCCATTCAAGTACTAATTATACCTAACCCCTCTTAAAATTTGATTGGTTTTTAGTTAAAAGCGTTCTAAAGGGTATTATTTTCTCATGAGAACAAATATGTATTTTTGCCGAAGAGATAAATTTCAATTCAATATTTCAAAATCTAGAATGTCATTTGTTTATCTCCAGGCCTATCATCACAGGTCAACAAACTATTGTAAGTGAATATTTTATAATGATAATGTTTGTTGCTGTTAAGGGCCAGTAAATTTTTTCATTTTTTGTTGATAATTTATTCTTAGTTTTTTTGAGTATGTTATTAAATTATATACCATTATAATGTTGTAAAGTTACTTTAAGTAAAATGCAACGATGGAAAATGATTTGTTCAGATTGTAGTCAAAGATTCATTTAATTTTCCATTTTTTTTTAAGAGATTTTAAAGTTTTGATATAAGTAATTTCTCTATTAAGTGTATATAAATTATATAAATAACTGCCATCAGTTTTAAAGTATAAGATTTTTAATGACAGTGACATCACTTTTCACAAAAATTATCAAAAAAGACTGGACGCTAAATTAGACTTCTATCGGTCTAGAGAACAAGCTGGATTTAGATCGGGATTCAGCACTAACGACCACTTACTATTGATAAAGAACCTGATAGAGAAGTCTGCAGAATACAACAAACCCTTGGAACTGATATTTGTGGACTACGAGAAAGCATTTGATACCATAAGCCATTCGATACGACAAGGAGACTTTTCACGACGCTTTTAGAACATACTTGTAAAAAGGCACATCTGAACGAACTTGGTATTAATATAACTGGAGAGAAGCTCAGTCATTTGAGATCTGCAGATGACATTTTCCTTATAGCCGATCGTATGGATGATGCAATAATAATTGTATGTTTGAAAAATTATATCACGCTTCCTTGGAGGTCGGACTAAAGATTAACATGAACAAGAGGCAAATAATGCTTAATTTGCTGCTAAATTGAAATATTGCTGTTGATGGGAGGGATAGTGTGCAGACTACATCGTATAAGTACTTAGGACATGAAATTCGATTGGGCAGAGATAACCAGACATGTGAGCTCCTACGTCGCTTAGAATTATTAGCCTAGGCAGTTTGGAAATTGAACTATGTATTTAAATCGGATCTACCCATACGCCTCAAGAGGAAAATATTTGACCAATGTGAGGGGAGACATTAACACTCACAAAAAAGGTAGTTAATAGGATTTCCGTGACTCAGAGGGCTACGGAACGCCAGATGTTGTGTGCCTCTATGAGAGACCGAATGCCAAACAAAGAAATACGTCACAGAATAAAAACAACAGACGCCATCGAAAAAATGGCGTCTTTAAAATAGAATCGGGCAAGACACGTTAGATTATCAGACAACCGATGGACAAAACGTATTTTAGAGTGGAGACCAAGACAAGAAACAATACAGAGCAGGGGACGCCCACCGGAAAATAGATTGACTGACAACCTGAAACGTGTTAGCAATAACTGGAGGCAAACCGCACAAGACAGAGATATGTGAAAAGAGCTGTGAGAGACCTATGTCCAGCAGTGGACGCATATAGATTGATGATGATGTCATTATCTTTTTATAAATGTGTTTTTATTAAATAAATAAATAAAAATTTTTTAGTATGAATAAACAATGTTCATTGTTTATTTTTATTAATTCATGTTTGTTTGAAAGCGGAATAAACATAATTTTATTGTGAAGTATTATTTTATTTTTGAGTAGAGACAATATAAATTATTTGAATTTTGTTGTAGAAGATAATATAATAATTCTTCTGAAGTATTTTATTGAGTATATAACCTTTTCTGGCAGCTTATGGTTAGATGTGTCAATTTTTATAGTTTTTTGTCGATAATTTGCTGATATGTTTTCTGAAGTGTGTTTTTTTGTTTTTCTGATGTTTTTTCAGACAAATGTTTGTTTAGTTTATATATTTTTGAGTTCCTTTATAGTTTTAGGTTAAAACTTATTGGCGCCCATTTTGTTTTACAGTGAAAATGGAGTTGCACATGTAGGTAAATTTAGAAAAAATAGCTGCATTTGTAGTAAAAGTAATGCTTATATATATATATATATATATATATATATATATATATATATATATATATATATGCATATTTCGTTAGTGTTGTATTGCATGTGTTTCACACTTTATTAATTACTTTTTTTGACAATTGCTTTTTTGCGATTTTATTCATATTCATCTTTGTAAATGTCTTGACTTGTGAACTGTAAGTTGACAGTTCGTTAGGTATTCCCGTTCTTGGTTCTTTAATATTTTGGTTTCGGTATCTTTATCCATTCGCCATTTTCTTTGTGTATTTTTATTTTAATTTCTTTCTTATTGAGATATGAACCAGGATCTCCGCAATAATATTTACAAAAAGAGACTCGAAAATTTTAGAATTTGAAAGAGCTGTAAGACACCACAGTTAAATACTAGAACATATATTTAAATAAATAAATTAAAATGAAAACAGCTTTAGAACCAAACGGCAATTATTTACATTCTTCCATAGAAGTTGGCGATATTACCATTATATCAAATAAAATACTCAGATATATGCTTGAAACTAATAATAACAACAAATACGAAAGTCCATAAATACATCTCATGATAAGGATAAAAAAAGGTATCAGTTAACTTCACTTATTCCCTGAATAATAAATATCCTAAAAGTAAATTACACAGAATTAACAATATCAAGAGAACTATGGAAAACAGTAAAAAACCTGAGAACAAACAGAAAAGAAGTGAGTAGAGTAGATTTAATAGAAGAAAGATGTTGGATCGACTATTACTCAGAACTTCTGACTGAAACAAGATCGCAATTCACGAACACCATTACAACCATTACAACATATAAAGTGGAATACTATGAAGATGATGAAATAACAGTACAGGAAGTGAAAGATGCAATACGAAATCCAAAAAATCACAAAGCATGCGGGCCACAGAGTATACCGAACGAAATATTAAAACACAGCTTACAAGTATTGCGGGAATTACTGGCGTAATTACTGGCTTACTATCTTATTCTATAAAGGACATGAGTTACCACCGGAGTAGACAAAAGCACGTATTAACATCTACAAAAAAGAAGATAGAAAGAATTGGTCAAATTACAGGGGGCTAAGTGTCATAAATTATAGCTGCAACCCGAACCGAAATGAGTTCGGAACCGCGTTTGATTGGTTTTAAAGCTATAAATGATCGTTTATGCATCCTTCGACTAAAAGGAAAATTTTTCAACATATGTCTGCTTAACGTGCACGCGCCAACCGAGGAAAAAGACGAAGAAATTAAAGATCTATTCTACGAAGACATCGCAAGAGCATATTTTAACTGCCAAAAACGATATTAAAATAATCATTAGATTAAATTGGTAAACACAGCCTTCACGACGTTACTAATGACAATGGTTTAAGGCTTATTAGTATGGCAGCTTAAAAAGATTTAATTGTGGGAAGTACATGTTTTGTACACCACAAATCAAATTGACCATGTTATAATTGACAGAAAACCCTTTACAAACCTAATGGACGTCAGAAGTTACAGAGGCGCAAATATTAACTTAGACCATTTCATGGTAGGGACCAAGAACTGCAGAATATCTACAAGCATACGTTTGGTGGTAAATATATTACCACTGTAATTAAGCAAAACCGCCTGCAGTGGTGCCTGCATTAGAATTGCCATAATGATATCCAATCTCCGATAGGAGAGGCACTCAAAGAAGAAGAAGAAGCCTGCAGTGGGCAAGACATGTAGCCCGGACCCCTGAATCGAACATGATAAAAAAGATTCTAAAAAAGAACAGCGCAACCCGTGAGAATGAGAAGACGGGGGTAGACCAAAGATGAGGTAGATGGACGGGGTAACACAAAATACCTACAAGATCGGAGTCGACAAGTGGAAAATGCAAGCAAGGGTCAGAACATAATTTCGTAGAAAGCTTGAGAAGCTCGAGGCCCTCTAAGGGCTGTAGCACCAAGATGATGATGATAAGTGTCATAAATTTACTCTCAAGGCATTATGGAAAAATAATAAAAAATCATATTGAAAAAGAGATGACAGATGTAGAAGAACAAAATGGCTTTCGTGCAGCCAGACCCTGTATAGACAGCATATTTTCTCTAAAACAGATTATTGAAAAATATTAGCCCACAACCTTTCGACTCATGTAGACTTTATAGATCTGACAAAAGCATGCGATACCACTTTTAATGCTCTGGGTAGCAATGAAAAAACGAGCAATAAATAAAAAATATATATAAAAGCAATATAATAGCTTTGCAAAAATATGAGGGTAAACATTAAAACTGGAAACAAATTAACTAGAGAAATTCCTATTAGTAAGGGTCTCGCGCAAGGCTGCTGCATAGCACCTACACTCTTCAAAATATATTTGAATCAGACGCTGTCAGTGTGGAAAAGAAAATGCTGCAATATGGGCATTCCAATCAAAGACGAGAAATTGTACACCAGAAAACCGAGTATTTAGTTACAGTAGAAAAATCAGAACGCCTACAAACTAAAATGGGAACTTTAAAATGTACTGAAACCTTCAAATACTTTTTTTTCAAAAAAAAAGCAGGGAGTAATGAAGGAATACATTCTAGGATTGGTTAAGCAAGATCATATATTAGACAGCTACACGGAGTATTGTGGAATAATAAAATAACAAAAGAAAATAAAAGAAGAATTTATAAAACAATAATAGAAAGTATTGGGTTGTACGGCACCGAACTTGGGGAAATAAATCAAAAAACAAATAAAAAATTAAGGCAATGGAAATTGACTATTGGAGACGATGTTGCCGGCACACTAGACCTGATAGGATGAGGAACTTAGACAACAGGAGAGAAACGGAAATTGACGTAGACATAATAGATACTATCGAATCCAAAAGACTAAACTGGTATGGGTACCTGCAGAGAATACCTGAAAATAGATGGCCAAAAAAGATAGAAAAGTGGACTCTGCCCACTAGAAGAAAATGAGATAGACCAAGACGGTCATGGAAATAAGATGTCAAAGATGCAATAACCGCCAGAGATTTAACAACTAAAGATTGCTTCAATAGAAAACGCTGGAAATTAGGATGCGAGAAACCTAACATTTAAACAAAAAATTAAACATTATTAAACTAACAATAAAAGATTATCCTAACAACTAAAGAAAATTCTCACCCATATTTAATGTTTTACAGACCACCAAAGCCTCCAATAAGGACCATCCATCTCCACAAATTACTTCCCAATCTCCATTTCCAATTTGAATTTCGACCCTGCCTTCGGTCCTAACTCTGCCATTTGCTAATCTTATCTTCATATCTCTTGGAAGACGTGACCTTAAAATAAAATAAAAAATTATTAAATTAAATTATTACACAAGAAGAGAATCTATAGTTAATAGGAGAGTTGTTAGGTATCCATGATTTGGCTATTAAATAACGTGGTTGCGCTGCTATAGAAGAATCAAAAAGGTGCAAAATACCAGCAACTGAAAACTGTTTATTATGAAGCATCTTTCAAATATTCCTACTTTTGTAAATAAACCCTTATACCCATAGCCTACGTACAAATTATTAAAGTTTGTGTTTGGTTTCGCCGAAATAATGTTGTATCGAACAATCAGAACAACAAATTATGGTGAAATTTTCCAGAATTTTTTAGAAGACTGCTACTTGAGCTTATAATTTATTAAAACAAGTACAAACAAATACAACAGATGGTTCCAAAATGGTGCATAAAAAACTCACTTTGAACAACATTAAAAAAATATTTGTAGTATTTTAATGCCATCGAAAATGACTCCAATTTAGTGGAAAGGATAATATTATGTGATGAATTGTGTTTTTTTACTTACGATTCTAAAGTGAATCGCCAGTACATGCACTGGAAGTGCCCAACTTTGCCGAAAGCCACAAACTCGAATAAGCTAATTTACATTGCTAATTTTATTCCGAAGCTATTTTCTTGTGGTATTTTAATATTATTTGTTAGAGTAAGCTGCTAAGCTATGTAATATTAAAGATTTAGATTTTTACTATGTACTATAACTAATGTCCTCTACATTCCTTAATTTAGTCACAGCTTTAGTAGAAGTTATGACAGAAAAAACCTTCATCTATTACTTTCACAAAAACAGGTGTCAATTTCTAGAGCCAAATGGAAATATTTCAGGTGTTGGATTACGTAGAGACAATCTGCAATTATGCTAATGCAATTTAGAGTTAAGTCTATTGACTTAAGCAAATTAATTTCAGTACTATTACAAAACAACTAATTTTTAAGAAAATATGTGAGTTGAAGACAAAGAAGAATTTTTCTGTGAAATATTCCAATATGGGAAGCAGTCAAGAAAATTCCATAAAAGACTAACATGAAACATATCAGAAATTAAATGATTCACACAGATGTATGTGGACCAGTAAAAATTTCCTCTCCAAGTGGATCAAAATATTTTATTTTATATTTGTATATTGTAGTGGTTATTGCAGTGTTTATTTTCTAAAGCACAAGTCAGATGTTCTCAACAAGTTTAAGGATTTTAAAATACTGGTCAAAAATCAAAATCAAGATTAAGATTTTTAAGAAGTGGCCAAGGTAAAGGAGAATATACCAATATTTATTTTCAGGATTTTATCAGTAAAAATGGTATATTGCATGAATATTCAGCTCCATATACACCTTAACAAAATGGTCGGAATGAGAGGCAGTTAAAAACAATTGTTGAAAATGTGAGGACTATGCTTATCAACAAAAATGTGTCACAAGAATTGTGAACTGAAGCTGTAAACATTGCTGTATATGTTCTCAATAGAACAGCTTCATAGCAAGTACAAAATATGACTCAATATCCTTACGGATCTTTAATGTGGTAGTCATCCCGTGGCTTTGCACATCTCAATTCGTTGGCTAATTTAGCTCTTCCGCCTTTGGAATCAATTTCTTAGCTATACGGTAATGAAGTGCTCTACCATAGCCCCCTCCGAGCGTGTGTACACACAGTACAGCTTACGTGTTGATATCATCACGGTTCTGTAAAAAGTTTGATTCAAAATCAAGAAAATTATTGTTTTTTGAATATAATGGATATTCATCAAATTATAGATTTTGGGATTGAAAGAAGTGAAGAATTGAAGTGAGCTGCAATGTAAAGTTTAATGAAGATAAAACAATTGAATATAAGAAGAAAATTTTTAGATTTAAATTTGAAATCTTAGACGATAATGAAGAAAGAGACTATGATGCTATATATGATATTCAAGAATGTGACAATGAGTTTAGAACTGTCACATGGTAGTAGTTCTCAAGCAACAGATCATGATGATGAGGATTTTAATTGTAATATGTTCTATGATGCCGATGATGAAAAATATTAATGACAGACGTAACTACTGTGAAATATTTGAACTTATAACTTATAAAGCTGCAATAAATTGTGAGGTTTCTAGCAAGTGGCAAAAAGCAATGGAGGAAGAAATAAATACCCTTAAATTTAGTAACACATAAGATTTGGTAGAATTGACTAATGGAGCAAAAGTAATAGACAATAAGTGGATTTATCGTCTTAAGACTGACTCAGATGATTAATTCTATTAGCTATAAGGCACGTCTGGTTGCACTCGGTTTTATGCAAGAACGTGGAATAGACTATGAAGACACCTTACTCAATAGACTATGAAGACTCAGTACGAAATTTGTTATAGACTTTAGACTTTATTTTGACTTATTTTGTTTTGATTTCTACTTCGGAAAGTATTCTGAAAATACAAATTAAATTAAGTTTAATTCCACAACCGAGTCTTCACAACAAATGACATCAGATTTATTGGCCTTAGGAGCTTAGAAGAACCGACTTGGCAAAACTCTCGCATACCCGAGCGGATGTGAAAATTTTACTTCGAGTAGGGACATACTGTTCCCGGATAGTGTCCCTATGATTCCCTGAATTGTGTTTCGAAACTATTTTACGGTTTTATTGTCAGATGTCGCTATTGCGTCCGTATTGAAGCCATTTTAGTGTTGCTTCTTAAAAGACAGAAAATATTGATCTTTCACGTTGAGAACACCTTTGAATAACTGTTCTGATGAGACCTATTAGGTCGAAATACGTATCAACAGATACAAAGGCGCTTTTTGCGTGAAATCAAATATTTGCTGTCTTTTCAAATACTACCACTTATAACAGAAGTTTTTATTTCGATGTTCCAGTTTTTTAAAGAGCTACTTTTTTAATCAAACCAGAAACATTTTGAGGTATACAAAAAGTCGTATAGTGGTGGATAAGTAGCAAAAAGGTTATTGCAATAATATGATCACGCAAAAGCTACTCTTAAAGCTTCAAAAGACTAAACTCAGGGTAGTCACATGTATCTGACTCTGGTATCAAATCTGTAAAATGGGAAAAGTGAACAAAGCAATATGCAGCACCATAAATATGTGGATTAGGTCATTTTAGAAGAAAAACCTGATGAGGTGGAAAATGTATAACGTGTAAACGGATAATAAACTTTCTTAGAAATTTAGATCATTTTGAGTAAATATCGATATGGGGTATATACCAAAGTCATTTCAGGTCTCAGTGTGGAAAGTTCTACGAGGACAAACGACAGTGTTGAAATCTACAATCCATCTTCTTCTTCTTAGAGTGCCATATCCCTACGAAACGTCGGCGACTATCATGCTTATAATATTATTATACTGATCTCGGTCTTGCGCTACGTGTAGCAATTGGTACGCTGTAAAACCTATCCACTGCCGCAAATTCCTCAACCAAGAGAGTTTCTTCCGTCCTATCCATTTCTTTCCTTAGATTTTACCGTTGAGAATTAGCCGAAGGAACTCATATCTTGGTCCTCTGATTATATGTCCAAGATATTCTAGTTTACGCCTCTTAATAATATTTAATAGAGTTCGTTGATGTCCCATTCTTCGAAGAACTTCTTCGTTTCTGGTTCTGCTAGTCCATGGAATTTTTAGTATCCTTCGATACAACCACATCTCAAACGCCTCGATTTTATTCATGATATCGGCGTTTAAAGTCCAAGTTTCACATCCATACAAAAGTACAGACCAGACGTAACATCTTGTAAACTTTACATGGATTTCCAAATTTAATGAGTTATTGGATAATAGAGGCTTGAATTTTTGAAATGAATTTCTTGTCTGTTCAATTCTACATCGAATTTCGAAGGATGGATCTAGATTTTGGGTAATCCAATATCCAAGGTATTTGAATCTCTGAACTCTCTGCAGCGGTTGTTGATTTAATATCAGTTGGGTTGCGCCTATATCCACTTTACTGGTATTTAGTTTTATCGATATTTATCAACAGTCCCCAATTTGTACAATCCATAGTCGAGTGAATAAAATATACTCTATCTAAGTTAATAATTTATAAAACATACTTACATCTCACGTGCATGCCTTGGAGTTTGCCTTTTTAAAACGGCTTCTGGTTTTTCACATATTACACCCGCTGCTTCAGATGAAGCACAGTCATGTTGTCCCCAACCATCAAATCTACAGTTGGATATTTCAGTTTCACCCCCATTGCAATAAATATTGTCCATCCAAAATCTTCCTGAAAATAAGGATGTATTCATTTTGAATGCCAAATTTACATATCCTACAATTCATTTGTATTGTATACAGTGAGAAGCAAAATTATGGAATAAATTTATTTTTACGGAACATGCGACTTTACGGAACTGACTAGATTAATAGGAATATAAACAAGTCAATTTAATTTTAAATTATGATTTTTTTTATTTTATTTCATACTAGTGACTAGTTTTGTCTTTTACTTTTGAAAAAAATCTCCTTTTTTTATTTTGGTATTAGTAAATTGTTTAATAATCAAGTCATAGAGGGGGTTAATTACTTTATTAATGAAAGTTTTTTATAAAAAATTGGTTGTACTGCTCCTATATCAGTGGGACCGTCAAAAACGTCCGAGATTTTCAAATATTTTTAATAGCAAGTTTAAGTTTCTTTTCATGAACTTGTCATCATTAATGTACTTTACCCTATTTTTCATTGAAACTACTGTATTAAAATTGTTATGAGTAGGATGATTTAAAAAATAGTTTAAATATCTTTCAGATTCTGTTAGTTTTTGATACCAATCTATGATTATTTCATTTTATTCAGTTCTTATTAATTTTGTGTCCAGAAATAAACCGAATACTTACTTTCAACCTCTAAAGTAAATTGGATATATTTATTGTAAAAGTGTTGAAAATGTTTTAAAGGTATTTTCCAAAGGCAAATCCAAAATAATGGTTGCTATTATGGGGCTGAATGGACTACCCATAGGTGCTCCAAATATTTGGCTAAATATTTGGAGCACCTATGGGTAGTAATTTGACAACACCCATTTTAGCTTAAATGATATTATAAGCTAACTTATAATATCATTTAAGCTAAAATGGGTGTTGTCAAAAATATTTTTTAGAAGTAATAAAAAGCTAGCCTTAAAGATTGTTGTATAATTCTGTTTCACCTTACCACAAAAACCGTCCTCCATGTACAAAACAAACGTTGGTAGAGTTGGGAAGCCATATTCGTTGGATCAGAAATACGAGCACTTTGTAGAGCACGTACTCTGATTTGGCGAATAGTGATTGCTGATTGTATAGAGTGTGCCCGATTGGTAGTGTGCGCCATATTCAAGCTCTGGCCGGTCCCTGTGGGATCCTTGACTCCGGGCACCAGTGCAGTTACTATCCAGTCGGGTTTTTGGAACTCCTTTAAGGCTGTACCGTACACCCTTCCTGGAAGCTTAGTTTTAAAAATACCATAGATCCCAAATTATCTAAGTGGTAAGTTATTTTTTCCTACTCATCTAGCTATTTTTCAAATCATCGAAGGAGATAGTCATACAGAGTCATACAGAGTGTCTACAAACAATACCCATGTTCGTCCGTCTAAAGATCTGGTCTACTGGCAAAGATCGATCCCATCATAAACCGATAATCTCAACGGAAATAAGGGCTCGTGCGACAATTGTAGCGAACTATGATTGCCTAGTAAAATCACACTGTTTTAAGCCTTTCGACTCTCGGAACTCTAAGAGATATCGTTACCACCTTTAACTAGAAAGGATACGGCCTTAGAGGCGTTCAGGCGAATCATCAGGTATATACAAATTGTGATGATTGTGTAGGTACTGTAAATGTAAATACTGAATCGGATCACGATATATTCCTTTTAAGATTGAATTTTATTAATCTAACTATGACAACAGTTCGAAATACTTTCAGAGTAACACATGAAGGCGCTATAGACGCATTCAACAATCTCTTGAGTAAAGAAACATGGCAAGATGTTTATCATGCAACTGATGTTGAGAGTAAATATAATGCCTTTCATGATAAATTACAGTTCTATTTCAATATTAGTTGTCCTATTAGAGAAACCAAACATTGCTAAAACAAAAAAAAAATACATGGGTCACCCAAGAAGTAAAATCTTCTTCAGATAGTCTGAAGGATTTGTATATATTGAGTAAGACTTACTCTGAGCTAAAAACTCTACATAGACAAAAAAATATCACCACAAAGTTCTTGTTGAGGCCACAAAGAGTCAATTTTATTTTAACAAAATCTCTAAATCCTCTAACAAAAACAAAACCACATGGGCTGTTATAAATGAACTTAATATATATAATGGAAAACAAAAAAATCACAAAAATATCTGTCTAAAAATAGATGATACTAGGATTACAGATTCAGATATAATATCAAACAAATTTAATGATTACTTTATAGATGCACCAGTGGATATAATTAGTAAAATAATTAAACCAAATTTAAATTTTCAGCATTCCAATGATTTTGTTCAAACTAGTTTGTTCCTATCTTATGTAACAGAGGAAGATGTCTTAGATATAATAAAATATAAAATTAAAAACAAAGCATCGTGTGGTTTTGATGAAATATCAGGTATAATAATTAAGAAAATTGCGTCTCAAATTTTGACACCACTGACTCACATTATAAATGCTTCTTTCAATACTGGTGTTTTTCCCAATATGCTGAAAACTTCTATCATTTCATCGGTATTAAAACAAGGTGATCCTGAATTAATGTCAAATTTTCGACCATTGTCTGTTCCATCTGTGATATCTAAGATTATTGAATATGCAATGTTAAAACAACTTTTATTATTTTTAGATATCAACCAAATTATCACAAAACATCAACATGGATTTCGAAATAAATTTTCTACTTCCACAGCCATTAACAGTTTTTATAATGAAGTCTTACTCTCAATTGAGAACAGTGAAAATCCAACTGCCATTTTTTGTGATCTCAGTCGTGCATTTGATTGTGTGCAACACGATGTGCTCCTCGATAGATTGTACAGATATGGTGTTAGGGGAGTTGCCCATAGTTGGTTTGTTTCCTATCTGAAAGACCGGCACCAAATAGTTAAAGTGAAAAATAACTTCAAGATTTCAATGTCTGATCCGATTATTAATAAGAATGGAGTACCACAGGGCTCAATATTGGGCCCTATATTATTTATTTTGTATATTAATGAACTACCACATGTAATGCCTGATGCATTTGTATCAGTTTATGCGGATGACTCAACAATGCTATATCGCGATAAAGACATAAATTTTTTACAAGATAAAATAACAAACTCTCTGAAGACCATCTCTGATTGGTCCAGTAATCAGTCGCTCCTGTTCAATGTTCACAAAACTAAATTTTTATCATTTACATCACGTTCAAATTCAACCAAACCTGACTTAAGTATTTCCATCAATGGTGAGGATATTTTGAGTTGTAGTGATGTGAAGTTTTTAGGAGTGACTTTCGACTTTCATTTATCTTTTAAGACTCATTGTTGGAATGTATGTAAAAAACTCAATTCTAAATGTTATCAATTGAGAAATTTAGGTAGAATACTTAGTCTGCAACACCTTCGTCTTTTTTATTTTGCTGAGGTACAATAGACAATAAGTTACGGTATAACTGTCTGGGGTGGTTGTTCTAGTGTAAAGGACGTTTTCAAGGCCCAAAAACGTATTGTTAGATGTATAGCAGGTGTTCCGTATGGTTGGTCTTGTAAAAACCTATTTAGAGATTTGAATATATTAACAGTGTATGGAATTTACATTTTGGAATTATTGATACTAATTCATAAAAATAAAAGAACTTTTTTATGTAACAGTGATATTCACTCACACAACACAAGAAATAAGAGACAGTTTGTAGTACCCTATCGACATTTAGAAATAAGCAGGAAGTCATCTACTATCTGTGGTTTACAACTGTATAATCAACTTCCTCAAAATTTTAAAAACATTAATTCAACTACAGCTTTTAAAAACCAAGTCAAAGAGTACTTAGTGACCATGTGTCCTTATACATTAGGTGAATATTACGAGGGTGTATCTGTGAATGCCTAAGCTGCAACATAACCAAATTTATTAATATTTTAATTATATGTCTATATTGTACGTTTTTTAAGTATTTTAATGTCTTAAATATTTTTAATGTATTGTTTTCATTTTTTGTAATATTTAATATTTATAATTTTAGTTTTGACTTGCTGTAAACCTAGTTGTAACTTACAGTCAAATAAACTATCTATCTATCTATCAGAGTGTAAAACTAACCTGTCTCACGACGGTCTAAACCCAGCTCACGTTCCCTGTCTATGGGTGAACAATCCTACGCTTGGCGAATTCTGCTTCGCAATGATAGGAAGAGTCGACATCGAAGGATCAAAAAGCGATGCCGCTATGAACGCTTGGCCGCCACAAGTCAGTTATCCCTGTGGTAACTTTTCTGACACCTCTTGCCGAAAACTCCTCAAGCCAAAATCTGACAGATGGATAATTTTGAAGATACCATGGATCGATCATATTACGAACGAAATGGTGTTGCACAGAATTGGAAGAGACAAAGAACTTTTGACCGCCATTAAAAGGTGGAAGACAGCATATTTGGGACACATACTTAGAAATGATAAGTACGAGTTGTTGCAGTTGATTATTAAGGGTAAAATCTAAGGAAAAAGGGGTCCCGGTAGACGACAAAGATCCTGGCTGAAAAACATTCGCGACTGGACCGGGTTCAACACACAGACGCTCTTAAGAAGAGCAGAAGATAGAGACGAATTTGCAATGATTATAGCCAACCTTCATTAATGGAGACGGCATTAGAAGAAGTATAATTCGTATTTAAGAATGTTAACAAGAACTTTGGAATAAGTCATATGTTACCGAACTTATAGATCTTACAATGGGTCTAAATCGTATTAATACTACCAATAATAATGCATGTAACCCCTTCTGTGACTAGATTATATAAACAATTTACTAATATCAAAGTTATTAAATGTATTTGAAAACGGACAACAGTTTTCAAAAGTACAAGACAAATCTCCAACGCTTTCTAAAACCAATGTTATCTATAAGTTGTCTTGTTCGGAGTGTCAGAGTTGTTATGTCGGTCAAACTTCACAATGTTTTAAACAAAGAATAACACAGCACTAAAGTGCCTCTACAAAAAAGAAAAATAATATAAAAACTGGGCACCATTTTGACTATCCAATTGTTAGGGTTCTACAACAAGTAATTATAAAAAAAGATTGTTTTTGGAAAATGTCAAATTAATACAGAAAAAGATGAGATAAATTACAAAGCAGATACGAAACAGTTAAGCAATGTTTACTGTAAGATTCTTAATATTTTAAACTAATTTTTATGTTTAAACAATAAAATTTTAACTATCATGTATATTTTTAACGTATATAAAACTGACTAATTTTATTATGTGTTACATGTGTTATTTGTTTTTATTATGTTTGCTTTTTATGTTAAAGAACATGCAAATGTTTGAAGACATTTTATTTTAAATCTGTAAGTACCTCATAGGAATTTATAACATAGTCTTTTAATTTTTATTTAAAATTATGATTATATTGTAGTGTTCTCCTAAGGGTGCTAACAAATAATTAACAAAATATTTTTTTTGCAATTCTTTTGATGAAACTATTTCTTAATCGGTAATATCTACCGACGAATACCAGTAGATCTACTGACAGCCACAAATTATTTTATTTTTATTTAATAAAGTCCCTTGTTGAATCTCCTTGCCGGTAATTTATTAATTCCTATATAATTTATTGACGTTATACTTCTGACATTCCTATGGTTACTATGAGCAATATTTATTGTAATTTTACCTGTTACAAAAAAGATAATAAAATCTGTATATACTTACTTCTTGCTGGTCCGAAATATGAATTTGCTGTCGGCAAAGCATTTGCACCTGTGTAACCGAGTTGTTTGCATATAATTTTCGCTTCGGTAACATCCCATTCGTCGTCACATATCGCTCCCCAGGAACCGTCATGGAGAATTTCCACATTTCCTTACAAATAAAATAAAAATTATAAAGCAAACAAACTATATTTTACTTATATAGCTTTTAAAATAAAATATTATTTTAGTGTATGTTCTTGTTTACAACATGTTCTTATTTTAGTGTATAGTTTTTGATTTATTCAATTTTTTTGTAGACAAATATCAAAATACAGTGTTGAGTAATATGGCCAGGTGAAAAGTAACTTCCTGTGGCTTCCTGGCCATATTTAACTTCCTGTGGCCATATTATTCTACAATTAATATTTTGCTTGCTTTATTAATATGATTTCTTTTGTTACATAAATCAAAAATGCCTCAGTATTAGCATTGATTATAAACCACTACTGAAAAAATCATAGCATATAATTCGTCTTTAAAAAGACAAACACATGACATGATGACAGTAAAATTCTCCTGTTAGTGATTCCATAGTAAATTATGAGGGAAAAAGCAGGAAAAAAACCTCATAATATTATCCCGACATGGTAAGTATTTGTTCGCGCATTTAGTTTATCTTCAATAAACACCAAAATTCTGATTTTTTATGTTTCGTTATTTAAAAAACATAAATGATGTATCCTCTATATGTTACTGACTTACTAATACGGGTATTTTCTTATTAATAACTTCCTCTTTCAATATTGGTAACCATATCCTACTACATTCTGCCGAGGAATTTGCGACACAATTGGTCTCATTTAGCATAATTAAAGCCGCTTCTTTGATTTCTTTTTTACCATCCGTCTCTTTTAGGACTACATTTGCATTATTCCATTGAACCCTATGTTCATTATCCCATGCGTGTTTACATATTTGAGATCTATCAAATTCTCTATTTTTAATATAAGACTGATGTTCACTTATTCTAACATTTAATGGCCTTGATGTTTCACCTAAATAAAACTGATCGCATTCACAAGGTATTTTATAAATGCAATTCTTTGTTCTTTCTTGTTCATTATTAGGTTTGGTTTTGGACAAAATAGATCTCAACGTGTTTGTTGTTTTGAATGTTGTTGAAATGTTGAATTTATTGCCTATCCTTTTAAGTTTTTCTGATAATCCTTTTATGTACGGTATTGTTATTTTCCTCGTATTATTCTTTGTGTATGCTATATTATCTCGTTCTAAAATGTTCTGTTCTATTCGATCGATTGTTGAAAATTCCTTATTTATAAACGATAAAGGATAATCATTTTTTAATAAAACAGATGTTAACAAATGTTTCTCCTCCAAGAACGAATTTTCGTTAGAATAAGTAATTTTGGCTCTATCGTACACGTTGAGATATATTTTGTCCAAAACCAAACCTAACAATGAACAAGAAAGGACAAAGAATTGCATTTATAAAATACCTTGTGAATGCGATCAGTTTTATTTAGGTGAAACATCAAGGCCATTAAATGTTAGAATAAGTGAACATCAGTCTTATATTAAAAATAGAGAATTTGATAGATCTCAAATATGTAAACACGCATGGGATAATGAACATAGGGTTCAATGGAATAATTCAAATGTAGTCCTAAAAGAGACGGATGGTAAAAAAAGAAAAATCAAAGAAGCGGCTTTAATTATGCTAAATGGGGCCAATTGTGTCGCAAATTCCTCGGCAGAATGTAGTAGGATATGGTTACCAATTTTGAAAGAGGAAGTTATTAATAAGAAAATACCAGTATTAGTAAGTCAGTAACATATAGAGAATACATCATTTATGTTTTTTAAATAACGAAACATATAAAATCAGAATTTTGGTGTTTATTGAAGGTAAACTAAATGCACGAACAAATACTTACCATGTCGGGATAGTATTATGAGGTTTTTTTCCTTGTTTTTCCCTCATAATTTACTATGGAATCACTAACAGGAGAATTTTACTGTCATCATGTCATGTGTTTGTCTTTTTAAAGACGAATTATATGCTATGATTTTTTCTGACTTATATTATCAAGTTAAAGTTGATTTCATGTAATCGAATGAACTATCTTTATAAGTAAAGTCGTCCCAGGAGCGCAACTCAACAATATTGGCAATATCATTTTAAAGTCGTCTACTTTAAAATGCATAATGTATGTCTGAATTGTCAATATAAATGAGTCAGATAAAATTAAATTATTAGAAGAATTTTTCACTATGTAACAAAAAACAAAATTTGTTTAATTTACTGTTTGTATTTTGAGAACGATTTCCGAAGTGGAAATTGACACGTCAATAAACGTATTTATTGACGTTTATCGTATTATGTCATAAATTATATATTAGTAAACAACAGTTATTTTTTAAAAGACTTAAAAGAACAAATGTTCTTAAGGTGGCCATATTATCTACATAATAATATACCTTACTTTAAAAACTATACAAAATCGGCTCTTAGATTGTATACTTCAGATATGTAGGTAGCAAATTTTAAGTAAAATAAAAGTCTTTACTTCTTGCCTTAGTTTCTGAAGATACATGTTTCTACACAAACTCAGACGGTATTAGTCCTTCATTACTTGTTTGACGGGAAAATACATGATTTTGTAATTTTTTAAGTCCGCAAAGTTAAGATACTGTTGTGATGTCAACCTGTATGTTGGAACAAATTTATGCTATGTTAAAAGACTCACTCCAGAAATTAATTGCAGATTTAGAATGGCGCTGCTGTAATGCTAGTACAGTTGCGGCGGATTAAAATTAAATTCCTAGAAATTTTATAATACAGTTCAAGCCCCAAGTCTCGTCAAAATTTTTAATGATCCTACATTCCAGTAGTCTTTTTTTACAAAATAATGACACAGGCTATCACAATATTTAAAACCAATTGCATAAAACTGGAACTGACTGTGAAATTGCAATATACTATTGACAGTTTTGAAAATATGGTTGTTAACATCAGAAACAGCCTACCGTCTGTAACGGAACATTTGCAAGAGTCAAGGAGACCGAAGAAAAGGGTACGAAATGAGTAGAATTAAAATTTATCTGTGATAGTCCATTAGTACTACAGGAAAATTTGCTTTTGATACTACTGATTATTTGGATCAGTTCAGATTTATCAACTGGTCCTATAAAGAATGAATTCGAGACCTTTTTTGAATTGGGGAGATAGGAAATAGGATCTTGTTGTGGCACTATCATCTATATTTTAAATTAAGAATCAGTTTGTTTTTAAAAATAATCCATCTGGTGCAAAGTTGTTCCAAAGAGAAAATTATAAACAGGGTAAGAAGAAACTACATTCATATCTTCTTCAATGCATTTTCAATGGTTGAAAAATGTGCTCTGAAATTGGAATTGACTTTGAATATTGACTGGAATATTTTACTCATAGCCAGAAATAACACAAGAAAATGAAAATGTAATCGGTAATAGTGTTATATGGTTTGAATTCGACATTTTGTGAAGTAAGTAAAGTTTTAATTATTTAAATAACAATACCAAAGACAAATAAAGACTTAATGAAAAGTAAGTTACTGAATCGTGAGTCTAAGCTTAGAGTTTACAAAACAGTAATTAGACCAGTAGTCACATATGGATGTGAAACGTGGACCCTCTCAACCACTGATGAAAATTAACTGAGAATATTTGAGCGCAAAATACTAAGGAAGATATTTGGACCAACTCAATGCAGCGATGGTTCGTGGAGAATTAAAATAAACCACGAGCTGGATGAACTAATGCAGAGCGCAGATATTGTTAGATTTGTAAAGTCACAAAGACTAAACTGGCTTGGTCACCTAGAAATAATGCCAGATAATCGAGCTGTAAAAGTAGTCCAGAGATGGAAGCCCCAAGAAAACAGAACAAGAGGAAGGCCCCGAAAAAGATGGATAGACGACGTAGAGATGGATCTTAAAACCATAAACATCAGGCAGTGGCGAAGGAGGGTATCTGACAGGGCAGAATGAAAAAAGATTGTTAAGCAGGTCAAGACTCCCAAGGGTTGTGGCGCCATTAGAAGAAGAGGAAGAAGGAGACCAAGGAAAAGTGCAATAGCTGAAAGATATTTCTCTACTTTGAAATTGATAAAGATAATCTAGAGAATACAATGTTGAAAGAACGACTGACAGCGCTTGCCATGTTGTCCATCGAAAAAACTTTTGATGAAAAAATTTTTAACTTCAACGAAAAGGTGATGGAACTGTTCACCTCCGATGAAACCATAAGGATTGAGTGTCAGTTTAATGGTTTTAATAGCTTTTGGTATGTACCTATTTATTTTTTTGTTTGTTTGAGTCAGAGCCCCCTGATTAATATTATCACCAGCCGTCACTGAGTATTAATCTTAAACAAAAATACAGTAATATCTCTTACCTTCGAATTCTCCTCTACCGCCAACCAGCTTAATACCACCGTCTACTTTTTTTAACCTCTTCAAATGCTTTCTTACAAGCAACGCTCTCTGGAGCTTGATTTCCTCAGGGGTCTCACATAAAACTGAAAATCCAAAAATTACAACAAAACAAACTCCCACTCCGCGTAACTGCATTTTTCATGCTATACATCCGTAAAAGCGTTTAGATAACTATTAAGCGACAGAGTTTAGAGCTGTAATATATGTCATGAACTAGATAGCCAAACATGTGTGAATCTAATTTTTTTGTTTCTTAAATCATTTTACAAGATCATCACGATGACCTTTCATATGTAATATTTATAGGGTTTAGTAAACAATTAATAGTTTGTGTATTACGTAAAATTGGTTCATGTTTTAATTCAATAAACGAACTGTTTACTTATATGATTTTATTTTTCAAGGATTTTAATTTTATTAATGCATCATTACGATTGCATGTGAAAATTTTAAACCCACGTATTGTGCCTAATTCTTTAATATGGTTTTATAATATAAAATGAATAAAATACAGTTTCTATAGTAATATATTGTGTCCATTATAATCGTCTCGACTCTTTTTTAGTTACAGTAATGTCCAGTATTGTGTGTTCCTGTGGCCAATCTTTTCTTTCATCTGCTATATTTCTGTTTTATTATTTTTAATTTTATTCCAATAATTTTTTGTTTTCGATTCAATGTTTCTAGTTTTACATTTAAGTCTTGTACGTATTTAGTCTTTGCTTTTTTATTTTTAAATTTCTCCAGGTTCCAGTTTCTTTTCCTATTTTGTTGCTTTTATCAGTTCCATATTTATTTTTGCTATGAATAATAAATGGTCTAAATCAGTATTTCTTCTTCTTCTTCTAATGGCGCTACAACTCTTTGTAAGTCTTGGCCTGCTTAACAATGTTCTTTCATTCTGCCCTTTCGGATACTTTCCTTCGCCACTGCCTGATGTTCATGGTTTTAAGATCCCTCTCTACGTCGTCTATTCATCTTTAACGGGGCCTTTCTTTTGTTTTGTTTCCTTGGGGCTTCCATCTCTGGACTACTTTTACAGCTCGATTATCTGGCATTCTTTCTAGGTGACCAAGCTTGTTTAGTCTTTGTGACATTACAAATCTAACAATATCTGCGCTCTGCATTAGTTCATCCAGCTCGTGGTTCATTTTAATTCTCCACGAACCACTGCTGCATCGGGTTGGTCCAAACATCTTTCTTAGTATTTTGCGCTCAAATATTCTCAGTTGATTTTCATCAGTGGTTGAGAGGGTCCACGTTTCACATCCATATGTGACCACTGATCTAATTACTGTTTTGTAAATTCTAAGCTTAGACTCACGATTCAGCAACTTACTTTTCATTAAGTCTATGTATGCATAAAAGCACTTATTACCGCTAAGAATCCGTGCTTGTATTTCTTGACTGATGTTGTTGTCATTTATTATTGAGCCTAGGTAGGAAAGAGCTAAACTGGGGAAAGAAGAAACGTTTGCAAATATATTGGGAAACACAGTTTGCACACTGAAACCAGTCAAAATGGACAGGCAAATAATTACGTAGTTGTCAGTACTAACTTCCAGAGAAAAGATATCCATAAAGGAACATGGAAAATACCAGGAACTAACGAAGCCAATCAAGTTGACCATATACTCATCTCAAAACGATGGGCAACAGACATAACTAATGTCAGAACGTATCACGGAGCGAACTCTGACTCAGATCACTATCTTGTAGGGACAAAATTACGGCAGAAAATAGCGACAGTAGCAAAAGGAAAAAATATTCAAATCAAAAAAATGGAATGTCGAAGGACTCAAAAGCGCAACAAAGAGACAAGATTACAAAAATGCTCTCCAAATAAAACTTAACCGAACTAGAGAGGAAGATACTGCAGAGGAGGAATGGAGATAATTAAAAATAATTATAACGGAGTCAGCAGAGGAAACTGTCGGAAAAGTCTAAAGGCAAAGAAATGCGGAATGGTATGATGATGAATGCAGAACTGCAGTAGAGGAAAAAAGGCAAGCTAGGCTTAACCAACTTCAAAGAAACAGAAGAAATAGCAGTGAGATTTATAACGAAAAAAGAATACAAGCGACTAGAATATGCAGAAGAAAGAAAAGAGAGGCTATGAAAAAACAAGTACAAGTATTACAATAAATCAAAACAACAGACGCGAAAGCAGAAAATTCTATAAATGCATAAAAGAAAGCACACAGTTATTTATACCAAAACTAACGATATACAAAGACAAGGACGGAGAACTACTAACAGAGAAGAAAAAAATTATAATGAGATGGAAACAATATTTCGAAGAAAATCTAAATGCAGACAACAAAAATGGGCAGAACGAATCTCAGAACGAGACAATATATTATACGGCGGAGCTGCACATCGAAAATCCGAGTTATGAAGAAGTAGTTCAGATAATAAATAAACTAAAAAACAATAAAGCACCAGGAACGGACGGAATTTCGGCAGAATTATTAAATCATGGAGGATCCGAACTCTGGGAAAGAATCCATTACCTAATAACATTAATATGGACGAAGGAGCAAATGCCAGAGGACTGGATATATAAAAAAAGAGATAAGAGGGAATGCCAGAATTATAGGCGAATTACATTGCTAAATGTTATATACAAAATTCTTTCTGGTATAATCTACAATAGATTATTAGAATACTCCGAAAATATAATTGGTGATTACCAAAATGGATTCAGACCAAATAGAGCCACTACAGATAACAGATTCATACTAAGAACGATAAAAGAAAAAACTTATGAATACGACATAGACCTATATAATATGTATATAGACTTTAAACAAGCTTTTGATAGTGTAAAAAGAGACAGAATGCTGAAAGACCTTTGTAATCTAGGTATACCTAAGAAATACATCAGCCTCATAAAAATGACGTTGCAGGGTTCAAAAGCCGCAGTCAGAGTAGATGGAGAACTGACTTCCTGTTTAACATCAACATGGGAGTAAGACAGGGAGATGCCCTATCAACCATGCTATTCAACCTAGTTCTTGAGGCAGTCATCAGAAAAACCAATATAACCGGCCATATAAACACCAAATCAGTACAAATTACTGCATGTGCAGACGATGTAGCCATCATTAGTAGGAATAAGCCACGACTAATGGAAGTGTTAAACAAATTGATCCTGAAGCAAGAAAAAGAGGTCTCAAAATAAACGAAGCAAAAACGAAGTATATGACAGTCAAAAGAATAACTGACAATGAAAATAATATCACAATAGACAACTATACTATCGAACGAGTGGGTGCCTATACATATCTCGGCACAGAAATCAATCAGAAGAACTCCGTAAGTAGCGAAATTAATGCACGTATTTCTAGCGGGAATCGTACATACTATGCTAATAAAAGATTGATGACATCGAAATTATTAGACAAAAGAACCAAAATGACTATCTACAGAACACTGATTAGACCCGTAGTAACCTATGGATGTGAAACTTGGGTAATGACAAAAAAAGATGAAGCCCAACTCAGGACATTCGATAGAAAAATACTGAGGAAAGTATATGGCCCGGTACAAGAGGAAGATGGCACATGGAGAATCAGGAGAAACGACGAGGTTAATGAATTAAATGGAGGTTATGACATTGTAAGATTTGTGAAAAGTCAAAGTCTGTCATGGCTGGGACATGTGCAGAGACAAAACGATGCAAAAACAACAAAGAAAATGTTACAATGGAAGCCCATAGGAAGGCGAAAAAAAGGAAGGCCCAGAACGAGATGGTTGGATGAGGTGGAAGACGACCTGAAAACAATGAACATAAGACAATGGAAAAGAAGGGCACAAGAGAGATCTGAATGGAAGGACATAGCCAGATAGGCAAAGACCCATCCAGGGTTATGATGCCAAAAGAAGAAGAAGAGGTAGGAAAAAGTGGAGGCATATTTGTAGGTATGGTTGTCTACTTTCAGATTCTCATGTTGATTTATTTTTGTGCACTGCATAGCACTCCATAGCACTCCATAGCAAGCACTTTGTTTTGCTTTTATTTATATATAGACCAAACGTAGAAGCTTCTCGTTTCAGTTCTATAACTTTTTCGCTTAATATCTTATTATGGCAACATCATCCGCATATGCGTATATTTGCATTGATCTTGTATTAATACAACCGTTTATATCCAGTTTTCTAACAACAGCTTCTAAAGTAAGATTAAAAAGTGTTGTTAATAAGGCATCACCTTGTTTAACTCCATTTTTAATATCAAAGGCCTGCGTCATATCTCCATCTATTCTCACTTTGGAACCCTCCAGAGTCATTCGTATAAGTTTAACATAGAATGATAGATGTCTTCTAAAATACACTTCAGCAGAAGTTATATTAAGAGTAGAGAGATTTCTTATGAAGTCTATAGCGATAGCCTCAACAGTTGATGATTTTCTAGCTTCAGTTTTTGCACGCCTTTTCAATTCAAAAAATCAATCGGCGTTCTTCAAATGGAGTGTCTCTTTCAATTCTAGCTTCCTGATACCGTTCTCTAACTTTACTTTTTCGTCATCACCTTTTGAAACGACAATTTTCCTATCAAGCTTAACAATTTTGGCTTTATGCTCGCCTCATTAACAGCACGTTTCAGTTCGTGGGTAACCGAAGGAGATGTTAAACTCTGATACAAATATTTGCCTAAATGTTTTATAACACATCTCAAAATGGGAATATTTAGTCAAAAATAATTTAAGAAGCTTTTTAAAATTCATATCTTTCAGGCGGTAAACTCTGTTAGAGTCCTTCCAACTGTAGTGCGCTTTACGTCTCTTTAATGAGCCAAAAAACTGTAATAACAATTCACGAGTTTGTTGATCTACTTATGAGTTCTATTGGTATGCTTTCCCCTTCTATCGATCGGGGACTTGCCTAGCCGAAGGCTGTAAGTCCAAACAGAGATTGAAATACTTTAAAACATACTAGTACCCCTAATGCACTGTCATTTCTAATAACTCTTACTTTGTACCTGTAGGAGGTTTCATTCAATCTAGCATCTTCTTCGTTCTTCCTTGGCCATTGTTGAAACCAAGGTCGTAATGAGATATACTTCATCTAATTTACTTACCGTTGGATGTCATCCGCGTCATAGCTCGTGAGGTCACATGATACCAACACGAAATATTTAGACGGTAGGTGTGTTGTTTTTTAGAATCACTTTGCCGAGTACACTGGCATATAGCCACTAGACATATTTTATTATATACGCGTAGAAATAATATTTAAA